ATACAGAGAATGGGTGTGGACAGAGGTTCCAGGTTTATATCCCTGTTTCTCACAGCTCAGGGAACACAGTTTCTTTGTAAATTTAAAATGTATTAAGAATTCATGAATGAAGGTCATTCGTGAAGGTAATTTCAGTGTGAGCCTGGTCTCAATTGATTTATCTGTTTGTTTTCTTACTCTTAAAATAATCTAAGCCTAATATAACAAAACCAGGAATAAACCACAATAAATTGGAAAACATGTTACTACTGAAATCTACAGAAATATTATCTGAGCAAACCACATTGTTAATAACATAGCTATTTTTTGTCAATTGCTTCACAAAACTGGATGGAAATTTGATGGCATACTGCAAGGCAGTAGGCATGCAAGTCAACACTAAAATGCCTAGTTATTTGTATTTCTGTGCAAAATGTTAAATGGCTGAAACAAATGACAAACAAGGTCATGCTTATGCCATCCACAGAATTAAAAAAAAAAAAAATTAGGTGATTAGATGGTATATTAAGTGCAAAAGCTGTTTTCATGGGCTTACATCTAGATTTGGCTTCAATTTGGAGTGAAGTAATGTTTAGAAATCTATCTCCTTTTTTCACCATGAGGACAATCAGGCATTGGAACAGGTTGCTCAGAGAAGTTATGCAGTCTCCATCCTTGGAGGTTTTCAAGACCAGATTGGATACAGCCCTGAGCAACATGGTCTAACATCATAGCTAATCCTGCAGCAGGTTGGACTGGAGACCACCTGAGGTCCCTTCTAACCTGAATGATCCTATCCTGATATAGTATTGTGGTAGAACTACTACTATTAAGAACCTATAAGCATTTCTGTTTGAAGATTGGTAATCGCTTATTTTCTTAGACAAAATATCCTCAACTGGTATCTGATAATTTACAAGCAGCTGTCGTTTGAAATGAAACTTTGCTAGGACTGAGTTAGATCTTGATCCCATGAAGTGTTGAGAGCCTGAAGTATGATTCAGCAAGGACCTTAGAAACAAGCTTTTAAATACCTCTCAAGCCCACAGATGCACAATTCAGGAGGAGTTTGGTGCTTATGAATTAAGATGGAAGTCTCTATGTTATATGTGACTTTCAAGGTCATGTCCTGTGAGTGCTAAGATTACACTATAATCAGAAACAAAAATAGGTCAAATTCTTCCCTTGAGAAATTATTCCAATGAAATCAAGTTCTTCAGAAGATCCCTCATCCCATTTTAAAAGATGCAGAGAGAATTAAAATTCGTCAGCAATATCAAAAAGGAACTAATGAAAAGCACAGAGCAGTACACCTGTAGCATACTGTGCCAAAAGCAGATTTTTATCACATGCATACAAAGGTATCAACTTGAACTTATATTCTGTAATTAATTTTGTACAGGCAACATAATGCATTCAATTCAGCATTAGTTGCAAGATTGGGATCTAGTCCAATTACTTAGACCTGTATCATAAACAGTAATGTTAAATTATTTATTCTCTTGTGGAATATCTCAAAAAACTGATGGAGAAATCATTATCATCACCTGCAAAAAGACCTAACTGCAACATAAAATATTTCTCTGGCTCTGAAACATGCAATAAAGTTTGTTGCACAGTTTTAAGTCTGTATTTGAATTTACTTCTCACTTCTAATACAAAACAAGAAAATGAAATTTAACAGCTAATATTTAGTCTTGATATCTTTGGTGACTTCCTGAGTTATGATAATGTCTTACTATGCCTTGAAATAATAAAAAGCATTTAAAAACATTATTACTATTATCTTAAATACTGATCTTCAGTTGTAGAAGTTCTGTGAGGCAAGTTATTATAATTTTTTGTCATGTTATATCTACTCTTATAAGCATATAATGAGATAAGCTGCGACTTACTGATCGAGTTCACACAGATGTTACTTTGGTTCGTGATGTATATGCTCTTATAACTTCCATCCCTAGGTTATAACAGGTTAAAAGCAACATTGGGGGAGGGGAAGAGAGAAAGGTATTTTGAGCTAAATTTAAGTTTCCATCTTGATAAACATACCTGGGACACCTGGAGAATAGCAGCTGTTATATCACATAAGAAGATATCACAGCAAAGCTATAAGCTGTAACAATAGGAAAAGATACAAAATAACAAAACTGATCATGTCACCCTGCTCAATTCATCTTACACAGGACCACTGTCGCATCCAAGTTACACCTTTGAAAAAAAATTTATCTATTCCACAAAATTTAATTTTAATTAAGTAACATTTTAAGGTATGGCAGTAGCCAACATTAATAAGGCTCCTTTTTTAAAATGCAAAAAGGATTGTGCTTACTAACATATTCCACACAAAAAAAGGATACTTTTTGCCTTAGACTAGAGAGTACATAGATGTAAGTTTTCTTCAAGCTATTTATAGCTAAAATCTGGACAAAGTAGTACTAGATTACATTTTCCACTTCCCCTGCACAGTGCAGCATTTAGACTTAGCATTTAAGAGCATGTTGGAAATACAGACTACTTAATGCAAGAACAAAACTTTCTAGTATGTTCGTATGCTTATATTGCATAAGATAATACAATCCATCTGTTGGAAAAATCCTCACTGAATATTATATCTGTCTTAGTAATAAACATGAATAGAAATCAAGATTTTTTTTTTTAAATCCAAAACTGAGTAACAGTGAGCCTTACAAAGAAATATGTTTAGGAACCTGAGGCAAATTATACATGTTAATGGTGGAGTCACTGAGAACAGTTAACACAATGTAACCAAATGTCAACTGGAATATTTTGCAGTAACTTACCACAGAGGGCTGTGTTTAATGAATATATGAACGCTTGGTTTCTAAGTTTTCAACTTCAGATGGCGAAGATTAAGTGCTAAGGGTGTTACTGTAAATGTTTAAGTGAGATGAACATCACTGATTTTCTAATTTTACCACATGGTTTATTTCAGAAGAAAACAAGCACCAGTTACATAGTTCTCCTGCAAGTCAGTAAACAGTCACACACGAAAACTCAATACAATTTGCTTCTTTGTTTATGTGCAGGATATTTAGTTTGGTTTGCAAAGTATTAGAAGAATAATAAGAACCTCCTGACAGAATACCGCAACTAAATTTCTAAAAAGCCACTCAGTTAATCTCAGTGTTGAATCTAGCTGTTTCAAATTATTGTAATGTATAATAACAGTCTTACTGACAATATAGATGCACAGAGCCAAAAAAAGCTAGAAATAGTGGCCAAAATGATGAACTAAGCGCCAGCCCAAATCACAACAAACATATGGCCATTAACTGAAGAATGGAGGGGTTTAGGAATGCAGCTGTCTGTGGTCTCCTAAAAGTTCCAGAGGAATGAAACGCTGCAAGGATTGGCAAAGTCTGGATGAGAGGTACTACTGAAGATGGTAGGTCCTAAAATGGAGTCAACCATCGGTTCATGTTGGAATTCAGAGATTTCTGTGGTCAGAATATATTCATTCCATTGGCCTCATAATGTACATCAACAAATTAATATTGTATGGATGTCATTTCAAAGCCTACTGAAGACGAAGAGCCATTATTGAAGCCATTAGAGCACAGATGGTTCAAACTATATGCAGATATTCATACTTGCATTTCTGCATTATAGCTGGTGTTTTATTTTTTTTTCTGTTGAACTATAATGAATTGTCTCATAATCTATTCCATCTTCTTGCCATTAGCAGGCTTTGAATGTTCACAAATAGGAGCAAAGAACTCATTTTCCAGAGCTTTAATCACACAAAGAGGGAATGCCTAATTCTCTAAATGAAATGGTCTGTGATCACTGAAGCAGAGATTTAATATATCACGGCAAATTAGGTAGATTTTAATAAATTACTTATCTCTCTGAATACTTTACATATGCTTATGAAGAAACATAGCCTGTTTGCAAACAGTGGAAATCCACAGCCTATAAAATCCTTTGAAGAAAATGACAAATAAAAAAGTAAATTAAAAAATGAAATGTATTATATCCTCGTTCTCAAGAGACAATCCTTTTGCAGCACTGATTCACAGCTCCATTAAAAATATCAATTAAATCCTTCACTGAGATTGGTTAAAAGCTGGAAAATTAACTTTCCAAGCTAGACACTGGTTATTCAGATACAACAATTCATTGTATATGTTTGATGTAAGTTCTAAAAGTGACAAAAACCAAATGAAAACACAGTTGCCTGTCCCTACAGCTCAAACTAGGTGAAGCAAAATCTGATACTGTATGGCTTCTTTTTGTGCTTTGACAGGTGTTAGCTGAAAGTAAATCTTTTACTGTACAGAAAAATGGTTGTGCCTGCCCTCCCCCTACTTCAAATCATGATAATCATAAACAGCTGATTATAATGTTAGTAGAAGGGTAAAAGTTATTTAAAAAAAGGTTGCAGTAATTTAATAAATCCTGCAACTAGCCTCATTTTTTATATTTAATTGATAGGAACTGCATGCATCAAAGAAAACACATACTGAGATTTAATGTGCATAAAATGGATATTAGCATTTTAAAGAGGCAGATTAACACATTAATCCAAGTAATTTTCATATATTGCTTTTAATAAAATCTTCACAGTATAAAATTCTTAATGAGGCTAATCACAGGCATTCCATTTAGTAGGGTGATTAGGGATAACATAAAAGTATTTTTAATCAGTTTTCTAAGGCTTATGGTTTTTTTATTAAAAATTAAAAATTTGACTTGCATTTTTATTACTGTTTTATGTAGGAAAAAATCTTGAAAATGCAAATAAAGCACATCATTCAATCATGTAGGTATTAATTATTTACAAGACGTTGTCCATTGTGGAGAGATTCTTAGCCTTAGGGGGAAATATAAAAACAAACAGACTGAAAAGTATACAAAACTTTACAACTACAAATCAAGCGTCCTTTTCATATAAATTATACATTAAATATACTCCAAGAATTACAAAGATCTCATCTTTGAAGCACTATCAAGCATGTATTTACACTGGGACAAGGAACTTCTGTAGGCAAACTTCCCTTTCATGCCTTCTAGTCATCTTTGCATTCCTCATAGACTGAACGCAGCACATGGAGGGCTTCCACTGTTACTTTGAGCTTTCCAATTACTGCACTATCATCTTGTGAATCGAAAACTAGAAAGGAAACATCAGAAAACAGCATTAGCAATTTCATTTAAGGTTTTGCTTTTGTTCTGATAATTTTCCTTAACATTTGGACAGATCAAAAGGCACCTAGCATATGTTTAAAAAAAGAGGGGAAAAAAAAAAAAGAAAAAAAAAAGAAATCTTCCAGTTCAGGCACTCAGCCTACTGCAAACTGAGCACTCTAAGAACTAGAATGTACATCAATAAAAGTATTAGTGTTGGAATTAACTTTGAAATAAAGAAAACTATCTGTATGATAATTGCCTATATAAATTAATTATTTTTCATAATACGTAACTATAGATGTTCCAAACTCTATTAAAGACATATATGCATACTTATAAATAGTTTTAAGTAAAAAAAATATACGATTAATGCATTTTCTACACTGTGTGTATGTCCGGGCTAAATCAGCCTGGACAGTTATTAGTATTTAAAGAGTAAATTGTTTTTTCCAGTTGGTGCAATGCAAAATTATTTTAATTCCAGGCTTCCATGTGTTGTAAAATAGTGAAGTGTAGGCAAAGATGGTATTTCCCCTACACTAAACTATTTAACTACCTTCATTTTTGTACGTGGGTTTTAAAGTAGTATTTAAAATTTCTATTTTACAGAAATTAGCTAACATGATTTAAAATTGCACTCTTACAATATCTAAGTAAGCCCAGAGGGCCACAATCTCTGCTGCTGTGATTAAAAACATGCTGCTAACAGTCAAAAATGAGGCTCTTTCCCAGTCCTGCATAAAAAGCAATGAGGCTGCCTAACATGACTCTAGAAGGAATTTGAATAAAAACAAATAAGCTTGACAACACATCTTTTCAAAGCAAATTATATAGCAGACAAATGGCAAGGTTATGTATTTACTATATAAACTGGGATAAGTACTCGGGACATGCAATGATACTGCATGCTACAACTTCTAGGCTGCGGGGACAGCTCAGAAGAGGTTTGGAGAAGGAAAAACATGGCATAAACCTTCCATCATTTACTTTGTTGATAGAGCTATTATAGGACAGATTGGATGCTATTCTCAGAGATCCAAACCATTTTGTATATCCTTGGACAAATCACTCAGTGAACTGTCAACTTAAAGAGCAGACTTCAGGGGACATTATTCTTTTTACTTATAAGAACGGTAGGATAACTGTAATTAATGTTATCAGAAGATAGCATTAATTCTATTTTCTCGGTTTTAATATTGTCATATTATCTCTGAGACATATTGTTATATGTCCTCCTGCTTAGCCATTCATTTAATTGCTTCAAATTTCATGTAGGCCACTTTCACAGAATCAGCAGTGAAAGGAACAAGATATGAAAAAGATACATGCTTGCAGTTCTCAAAAAGAATGAAGGAAGTTTATGGTATCTAACTTCAGAATGATTAGATCTTCATGTGGTAGCGTCCTATGAATTTACCTGTATCTAGGTTTATTCTTTTTCCCTCAAACCAATATCCACCTCAGAGAATGTGTACAATATTATTTAGGAGTTCTATTTATTGTGCCATTACATTTAGTTGAAGTCTGTGTCCAGATCTTAAGAGCAGATCCTTTTACAATGACTTCATCCAATAAAATATACTGATATATTCTACTTTTGCCATGATCTGAGATATATTGACATAAAATTCATTTCAATTCTCTGAAAGTTCTAAGTTTTCAGAAAACATGGAAATATAAAAAAAAAAAAAATCTACACTGTACAGCATGTGCAGGGAAGGGAAGAAGCGTGGCTAGGAATAAGAATAAAACTATTTCTATCTATTACTATCACTTTCATTGATATAATGTACGTAAAGTAAAAATTAGTTCAAATGTCTTATGATTAGGGGAAGAAACGCTCCTCACAATATTGAAGTAGTTGTCATTACACAGTAATGATTACCTTTTGACAGAACAACAACTAGTAACAAAAAACAGTCCTTCCTATCATAATAATTATCTCAGATGACGATTAGGAGTTTTAAGAATTTTGTGAAAGGTGACTTTCAAGGGTACAAAATTATATTTATATCACTAATCAATCTTATCAAATGGGAATTATGACAAAATGGGAATTATGAAAATGGGAATTATGGCCATAAAATCCAGAACAAAAACAATTTTCCAGTGAGAGACTATGAAATACCTTTTTGGAGGAGATGTGCTTTCCTACAACTACTCAGAGAAAAATTTTTGGTGGAGTAAAGATTAAGTGGTTCAGCTACAGAAAGAAGTGCATCAAATCTGTGTATTATTTTTCCAGGGTATGGAAATTTGATTCTTCTTAGAATTTTCCTTATCGTGTTCCTGGAACTTTGATGCATACTTTGAGTATTATAGTTACAGCACGGATGCAAATCATGCATGATAATGGAAACGGATAAGAAAGCCTATTTCTTTTCCTCCCTACTCAGCTCCCCATCACTCGAGGTATGGTAATTAGACACAGCAGTAGACGTAACAAAGTCACATTAGCTCAACATCCTACTAGGGCTAACTAGAATTCTTGCTATTACAAAGAGTACCTTGCAACCATGGGTGCACTGCATCTAGTAATCAAGCTGGTTCACTCACTGTTACAGGAGAATAACTATTTAGTAACAGATACACTCTCAGCTTCTTCACTGAGCTTTACCACAATGGGGAAAGAGGATAGAGAGGAACAGGTAAGGAGAAAAATTCACCATTGATAACTATGTCCCTGCTACATTGGGGAACAGGAAAGTCTAAGCAAGGAGAATATTTTCCTTCACTGTCTATGAAAGGACTGAGTAGCCTTCAGAAGTCTTCATATCAGTGCTACAAAAATGCTGCTGTAAGACCCAGGAAACGGAAGATTCCACACCTCCTAGTCACTTCACCTTGCTTTAGTGAGTCACAGTGAAAAGTTCGGTCACAGTCTGTTACAGAAGGATGCTTACTCTAAACTGATACCTAACCAAAGCCACCAGTATTTCCTATTGTCTCAGATACAGGTTTCGTATGGAGGACACAAGCTTTAGGTACTCTGGGGGTTATAACATAACTTCAGATAAGATATAGACATTAGCAATACAGAATTACTGACATAAATTTTAATAACAAAATACATATTTACAGTCTTACTAGCATGAAGTACGTTGTACAAAATAGAGAATTATAGTAAGCGGACATGTCCTGAAAGTTCTTAGGTTTTATAAACTAATTACTATGAGCTGGGAATGCTGTTTGGTTGGTTTTGGGGTGGTTTTTTTTGTTTGTTTTTGTTTTTTTAAAACAGATTTTAAGGAATAGTACACAGTTTTTGCAGACTTTTGCAAACAAATGTGGAAGCCGTTAGTTAATATTAAAGAATTTCTTGTTAAAAATGTCAAAAAATTACTTGCAAAGTAAAGCCTGCAGAAGAAAGCAGAAATTCAACAAATAATTTTTAGGTTACAAAAGGCTACAAGAAAGTAATCTTACCATCAATATCTTGCTCAATGATATCTCTTTGCTTCTCGAATATCTCTCTCAAACTGACATAAGCGAAACCGATATCTTCACATTCAAGATCCTGTTCATCTTCTGGGGGATCACTGACCACTGTAAATCGTAGGCTAAGCATTTGGGAAAAAAAAAAAAGAAAAAACCCCAGAAAGATATTTTACCTTCAAAAAGGGTTGAAAATTAACTCAAAAACCAGAATAAAAGGCAAAAAACATGCTCTATTTTACCAGTTAAGAACAAACCAGAAATCTTTACCAATTATATTCAACATTTTCCATGAAAAGAATAGTCTGAGACCATTTCTTTTAAATCTTCCCTCCTTCTTTAGCATTATTTAGGAAGTTGTAACCACAGATCTGCAAGCTTATAGAATTGTTTCATTTTTGTCCCCCCTCCCCACCACCCTGTGGCACAATTCTTGTTCATATGGCAGTGACAAGCAGAATAGTCTAACAATTAAAGACTTTTTCACATTTGAAACTTGTAAGTTTGTTTAGTTCACCTGCTGAATCAACTGTTCAAGTCACTTAATTTCTTTATATTTACCCCCCATAGGTAAAAATCAAGACTGTATCTATGTACTTTGAGGCTTTTATAGCAAAACTCATTTATTTAAAATATCTAAAAATATAGTTAGGGTTGGTTTTTTTGGTTTTGTTTATTTTATTTTATTTTTACTGTGTTGACCATACCATGCAAATTATTTGATGTGAAGAAATAAAAACAATTCACAAGCAATAATAGAAAGTTTAGATTAAATGTAATTAAGTTTTGTTGGTTAAAACCTTTTAATACCATAAACTTGTTAAAAAGTTTCAACTCCTTTAATTCAGTCAGGTCACATAAGATGAACCTGTATGATTATTTCAGCTTTGATGTGGAGCATGCTTATGAAGTAAAACTTTTCAGTTGTCCCCAGTTACGGTACTTTATGTGCACAGTAGTCTTGGAACACATTAATTGGATTCCTGTTGTACTGGACTAAACTAAACTGAAGATGTGCTCCAGGAGTACCTACCCCTAATGCACTCCACTGCAACAGACATTCAATCAGTAGGATCAACTAGCATTCTGAATTCTCAAAATCATCCTGAAAATTTATGTACTGTGAATATCAGACCATTAGCAACAACTGCTTTGCGCTAGAGATTCTCTGGTCTGCACCTCTTGATAATCTAGATCTAGCCTTAGTAAATTTTAAACCATGCATTTTCTTGGCTTTACATTGAGTGGTGTGGGAGACATGAGAAAGACAGACCATATCAAATGTTTTCCTGACAGCAGAACTAGTAGCCATATTCAGTGATGCAAGTATCTCCAAACACCAAGTGTAAAATATTTAGCTGAGAGTTATTGAGAATTTTCATACCTCATTTAGATACTTGGAGAGCATATTCTAGCCAAGAACACATGCCACAAAAACAACAGGAACGTAGAGGCAGTTCTCGCAAAATAGTATCTTTCTAATGTTGTCTTGTGTATTCGGTATTTAAAATTGGACCTTACACAGCAATTTGTCCTGCACTTGTTCCCTCTGACCAATACATCTCATATTTTATCTTCACTATTCCGTTCCTGTTTTACACATAAAAAAACTACCCATGAGTACAGCCTGGATACAAAGGCCTTTGAGTATTTACCATGCTGCCTAAACACAGCCTGTTTGTCCATCCCAAACATCTAAGCCCAACAACTATACAAAATACTTGCATTTCTGCTGTGAACTTAAATTACACTCATTGCATCCAAGTATGGCTTTTCTTTTAAACACATAATTCCAGTATTGTGCTGGAGCTGACTTGAGTTAGTGGCTTGTGTTGGGGCCAAAAACACAGAGACTGACAAAATGACAGGAATTCAGAGCTAACTACTTTTCTGGTGTGTCTTGGCAATGTTTTCTAAACTGTGAATGCTTGTGAGCTTTACAGCCTAAAAATGTTACAATAAGCATAATTCCAAATGAGTAGCAATCAACTTGCATAAAATCCAAGTCTACAGGAAAGGATATCTCAGACAAAATATAATCAAATCTTCCTAAAAGACTTTAAACATAACAACAACTGCAATATGCTTTTATAGTAGTTTATTTTTGTGCTTGGCTCTTACTAACCAATATTTATTATAGAAAATATATACATAAATATTTGTTTGTCACTAAAACCAGACACCTATTGAAAATACGTGTCTTTAAAAAAAATTTTGGGAGGCAGAAAAGGAAAAATATCTCAGCTATTTCCAACAGCAGGTGGCTTGATTGAGTATAATGGATCTGACTTGGATTTTGGCACAGAGCTAAGCAGCAGCAAAACTGCCAAAACTCAATCAAAAAGAAAGAAATACTTAGATGTGTAAGCTAAATATTAAATGAAATTAAAACAAATTAAAAATTGTAAGAATAACTGATAAAACTGTTGGGTATTGGGAACAGATCTGTTTTGTTATGTTTCAGTGCCAATGTCAAATTGGAGAAACCAGCTTAGCAGTTAAGGAGAGGAGGAGATTAGTGCTGGATTAATTTTTGTCACTTAAAGGTATCAACTACTACTAAAATTTTTACTAAAGCATAAACTAAAAGCAGGCCTAGTAACATTTGGGACAGTACGTTATAGCCAAAGTGGAGAGTTGTTCATATTGGTCCACTTTCTGGTTCAGATCATATGCAAGTATTTTACAAGACTAGAGCAAGCTTCAACAAAACAGATAAAAAGAACTGTACCTCTAACACCTCACGGTTCCAATATGCCTAAAAGATCGTAATATTGGATTAAATCTTTGCTGCTAATCAGGAAGGAGGAGATTTGAACTCCAGACCCCATGGGAATACTCCGACTGGTAGACTGCAAGAATGGCACCACAATCACTTTGACTTTTGTATTTTTTAAAATATTACAAATGCTTTAAGTTTAGAAAATATTTAAATATGATAGTATGCTTTAACTTGTTTTCTTAATTTATCAAAAATTGCAAGAGTTTTGTTTTCAGGTTGAACTGGCTAAAAAGACACATACCGCACAGGAACAGACTCCTCACTCTGCTTCAGCACAGAATGCACAAATGTGCAGCTCGTGTCCCATCTTACCTTAACACTGCCTCACTTATGTAAGAAACTTTGATGGAAGTTGGAATATCAAATTCATACTAGGATTTCTTACATAAATAAAGCCATGTATAGCATTCCTCTCCTGTACTGTTGTTATGGTAACACTTAAAGGTGTTATCACCAGCAGGGAATTTAGAGTGCCTGGACAAAGCTGTGATGGAGGCAAATTGATTCTAGTTTTTTATTCCAGAGATCAGTCATTTTTAAGCAGCAAGGAGAAAACCTTGTGTGTTAATATAGTATATTAATGTGAAGTTAACACAGTACACATGCTCTATACTCCTATAGCATGGATGCATAGATTTTGTTACTTTGGATAACAATGACTTCATATAGTCAGTTTCTTGGAGTAACAATCATTTCCTACCAAGAAATGATGCACCTGTCAGGATCAGCCTGGAAACCTCTTGCATAAACCTGTTCATTCTTGTTATCACAGCAGGGTGACTGTTAGAAGAATAGATTCCTCCATTCTTCACATATGTCTCTTTTGACACTTATCAGAAGAGCATATACTCTATCGTCAGGTCTGCAAGCATTGCAAATACAATCTGGCATGAGAAATCAGGTAAGCTTCTCTATATGACCCAAATTTCTACTCTCTTAAAATGCTGAAAGGCAACAGTGGAATACAAACAGGATGAAGATAACTATGACACAGTTACAGTAAGTTAAATGGACTGCCAGAAATGCCTCCTGTTATTAACGATTTAAGGACTTGAACATGTAAGTAAATAACTATTGGGTACAGATGCTAAAATAAAACAATAAATCTGTATCCTTTTTTTTTTCCCCCCAAAGTTTTACAAATATTAGTAAGTATAGCTTCCTAACATAAATAAAGAATGTAATTTTAATCCCTATTATACAGAAAAAGAAAGAAAACAAAAAGGCTACCCAAGTCACACAATACAGCTATAAGAAAAAACAAGTGTTCTTACAAAATTTCCGTATTAATGATAGAGACATTGTCTGTCTGAAAACGTAGATAAAGACAAAGACGACGCTTGTCAAAAGAGAACCACCATCTTTCAGGTATGCAACAATTACTAACCTAAATAGGATTTCAAACAGTCTTCCTAGTCTCTTATTACCTCATGCTCATATATTTTAGATTTTATATCATTCTACTTAGCAGCATATTTTGTTGATTTTCTCGAATACTGAATATTCTTGCATTTTCTGCCACTAAAGCCATTTATTCAAATGTGGAACCAAAATAAACATTTCTAATAAACACTTACAATGATGCCATATCAAAAAATAAAATTGAAAGAAAAGTCAATTTCTTTTGAAATCTTATCTTTTATTGAACAGTAAACCCCACTCCCAACAAATAAACATAGTTTCCCATATAAATGCCGTGTCAATCTACATTTATTTATTTGTAAGTATAAACTAAAAGAGTATAAAGCTGTGAAATTCATTATTTTCAGGGCCAAGTTGGCTCCTGTTTCAACTATAGGATTAGGCTATAGTTGCAACTTTGGCTTAGCAGTAATTTTATGTATTATATTAGTATCTCTTTTAACACCTGAGAATATTTATATTTTTCAAGGGACATTCATTAAAGTGACTCTCCTTTTGGAAGACAAAAATGGCATGTGATGTATCTCTCTGTTTATGTTCTAATACGGACTCCATCATTATGAGTATCATTTCTAACAACATTAATTGTGACAGGGAGAAAGTTCACCTGAAAACTTAATACACCACTTAATATACATAAAACACTATCTATGTTCCTATAATCTGGCATAGCACAAACACCAATAAAGTGTCAGGCTAAGCCATGTGCAGGCAATTTTCAATGATATTTATATTCTTGATAATTTGGTTTCCTGAGCTTTAAAGCATTAGTTTAGTTCAGTTCCTGTTTCAGCTGAAAAATCTCCGATATTAGTTTGTAAGGCTTGTGATAGAAAACATGTGTTGAAGATATAACTAGGCCAGGTTTAAAATGCATAGAGTTGAAAACATTTGGTGCATAGGCAGAATCTTTCCATAAATTTTGTTTCTTGGTGGTCCTCTTCCTAGGCTAAAGTGGGGAATTGGACTACTGATGAACTTCCTGCCTTGCTATTTAGTCAACACAGAATTGAAATTTCACCACAGACGAAACTAGACACACCGATAAATGCAGAAAACAACCCACCTAGTAACACAGAGGACAGTACCATGATGGCACACGTAAAAGATGAATACTTTTGTTGTGGGAAAAAGCTTGCTGCTATTATTTTACCTTATTTTTACCCTAGGTTTGTTAAATATTTATTATATATATCTAAGTATTTATAGGTGAAATTGAAGCCTACAGACTAGCTATTTTCTTTCACTGAATTATTCCTCAGGAAAAAAAGAATATTTTGTCCTCAGTGTTGTTAAATTCTCAGTAGAACATGTTACCCACTTTCCTAATCCAGATGGTAAAGTAAGTCTTCTGCTTGCTTGTGAAATTTTTTTTTTTTTTTTAAATCTCTAAACCTAAGAATGTTTTGGTATGATATTTCCATCCCAACAAGTAATCACTTCATAGTGTTCCCTGCTCCATTCCAGTAAAACCTGTTTTCTGGCCAAGACATGAAACTCAGTTTTAGAAGGGAAATGGAATGAAGAAAAATCACTCTCTTTCTTACTGCACAGTGAATCTGTAATTTGTGAATAAGTACATATTTACAAGATTTAGAAGTAACTCCTACACTTCAAATACAATTAGCAGGTATTCTACTCTTCTGCAAACTAAATGAATCTTTAAATTAATAATTGTTCCATTTTAATGAAGATTGACCTTCAAGACGTCAACAGAATCAAAGTATGTCATTCATTCTCTCAAAGTAATGTGCATGCTATCTCAATCAAAAAATTTGAATAGGAACAAATTTATTATTATGAGCTCGGACAAGACTAATTCATACTCTTTCTCATATGTATACATATAATAGCTGCCTGCTAAATCTATATATATGTGGGTTTTCGGAAATTCTAGGGCCAAGTAACACTTTCTGAAGCTGTTACACTCCTTTTAGTACTCTGAATTCAGAAATCAACAGATGTATTACTCTACCATCAGGTAGGTATGTGCTTTTCAAATTAATTATTGAAAGAATGCTGATGATAGAATCTCTCTCTTGCAAAATGAGGTTGTTTAAAAAAAAAAAATCAAAACACAGCACCGAAACAACATTAAGAGAGGTTGCCATATTCCATGCCACACAAACCTACTCAGGGAAGAAACGCAGATCAATCGCCACATCAGAATGTAGGTATCATTCCTAGCTGAAACAAAATTTTCCCTAGTTAGTTAGTTAGGTATTAACTTCTCAGGGATACCTCCTCAATGAAGTCAAACAACAAGGCAAACCATAAGCATTATTTACAAAGACCTTTTATAGAGTTTTTCAGCACTAATATGTACCTGTCAGTATGTAGATCTGGCTTTAGAAGCACAGACTTGAGAAACTCCCTTCTTGCATGATTATTTGCCTTATCCACATGTATCACTGCAAAGCAAACCGGAATTAATATAATTAGTTATCAATTGTTTTTCACCTTTTAAAAGAAAAAGCATGAAGAAAGGCACAAAGAAAAATAAACATTTTCCCCTTGTCTTTCCTAAGGAAAAGCAACAATGTTAGAATCAAATTTGAAAGGTCATGTGATCTAATGGCTTGTCACTGGCAGGTTTATGTGCACACTGTCAAAAAAGATACAAGAGCATCTAAGCATGCCACATAACTGTCATTTTCTGTTAATGGCAATAGCAGTCATGATTTTAAAAGCCAGTGGTCTTTATTGCTGTGTATTTGAAGTGATTTACTGCGTTTTCTTCCACTGAGGAAGCTAGTGATAATGATAATGTATGGCAGAGTGCTTGTCCTTTTTGACAGCCTCAGTAATTTAATCCTCCTTTCCTGCCACAATATTTCAATAAGAGAAACATCTAGACCAATGGACTGGAGAAAATCCACAGCCTGGGGAGTGTGTGTGAGTGCTCTAAAAGCCTTTTATTGTTTTAATTTAAAATACAAACACAAGGACCAGCTTTTAATTTTTGTACCATTAATATGACCTACAGTGAAAAACAGCCTTGGTTTGGAAAAAACAATAAAAGAACGAGAACCAGGGTTTTAGGAAAATCTTTAAGAAGTTTTTGGGCATCTTATAAGAAAGTAGCTACTTTCTTGCAAATGGTATCAGCCTACAAGTATCAGTAAACTACTGTGAAAGACTATAAAAATTCAGGATGCAAAAATTGAAAAACAGTGTTAAAGGAATTACTTTTTTTGTTTTTGAAGTACGAAACGCAGCTGAAAAAATTTTGCTAGGACAGAATAGAGTGAATATAACCCTCTGAGAAACAAACATAGCTCTTCAGAACATTTTTCATTTGTTTTTGAGGGCAGGAGGAGGAGTTAGAAATTTGTCTGTCTTTAAATTCCAACATCTTTAATATTCACTCTCTTCTAGTTACTCTTCCACTGTACTCAGAAAAGCTCTTTTTCACTCTCCACATCACATTAAGGTTTCCTTTTCCTATGTGCTGACAGAAATCTTTAACGTATTTCATACGGTCTTCCATTATCCATAATAAACTTATTTGTATAAACAGAAATTACCAATTCTACCAAGGAGCAGAGAGTTTTGGAATACAGGAGTACGAAAGAGAGATAAGAAGGCTCAAATTAATTCCTTGCAGAGGGATTTACTGAGGGACACGTCTCTATAAAAGTCATTCTAGGAAGTATACCTTTCAGAGCTACCAGTTCTCCAGTTTTCTCTAAAGTTGCTCCTCAGCTCTTACCCGGTCAGCAGAATCACTATTACAAATTAGTTACTTTCAGAAAACAGCCAGTGCAATTGGTAACTGAATCATTCAATCAAAGGAATCTGCAATTTAACACCTTTTTCTCTACTAACAGAAAGCAAAGCATTGGTGCTCTATCTTGGAATCCTTAGTTTCCAACCACAATATTCTTACTTTCTTAGACAGGTTAAAAGAAGCTGTTACTGCCATCTGCTATTCTTTTGGGCATGTGGATGACTTTCCACATGTGCTACTCTCATGGCCAAGTGCTCCTGGGGCCACCACAGGAAGTGATGGGGAGGCAGCAGGGAGACAGATGGACAGCCAAAGAACTTCAAAGGAGCTGCCACATCAACAGATTCTTCCCTTACCCATAAGCATCCCAAATGGAATTTCCTAAGTTTACTAATTCTGTATCTAAAACAATTTTAAATGGAAATTATTTACAAACCTAAAGAGTTCGAATTCATTTCACTCAATGGAAAAATTCAGACTAGCAAGTAAAACATTCAGCACAAGAACTCCATTCAATTCTGGGGAAAATGATTAACCATAGTGAAAATATATTTTTAGATCCTGATGAATAACATGCTCTCATATCACCCCTTAGTACTGCCTGAACTTAGAATTATAACATTGCTCCAAGGCACGGAACATCTCCTATTTCTATCCAATTAATTGGAAAAAATCTTTCAAAATTAACTTGTGACAGTTTGCATCTAAAATTATAAATGTAAAATTTGTCCTAAAGAAGCACTAAACCCGGAAGATTACAATGACCCTGGAACCTTGTTAAAAATTGCTGCAATTCCAAACATTAACATAGGTGGTTCTGTTACAGCATATTTTTTTCATAGTTCACTTTCTAACAAGTCTTATGAGGAGCGGCTGAGCGAACTGGGGCTGTTTAGCCTGGAGAAGAGGAGGCTGAAGGGAAACCTCATCGCGCTCTACAACTACCTGAAAGGAGGTTGTAGCGAGGTGGGGGTTGGTCTCTTCTCCCAAGTAACTAGCAATAGGACGAGAGGAAATGGCCTCAAGTTGCGCCAAGGGAGGTTTAGACTGGACATTAGGAAAAACTTCTTCACTGAAAGAGTGGTCGGGCCTTGGAACAGGCTGCCCAGGGAAGTGGTGGAGTCACCATCCCTGGAAGTATTTAAAAGACGTGTAGATGAGGCGCTTAGGGACATGGTTTAGTGGGCATGGTGGGGTTCGGTTAATGGTTGGACTCGATGATCTTAGAGGTCTTTTCCAACCTTAATGATTCTATGATTCTATGAAAACTAAATGAGTATGTGATGAAGCAGAGTTTCATCACAATGATGAAGAAAAAATGCCTTACAGTATTGAGCTTAATGGAGAAAAGGAATAAGCACAAAGAAGTATAACAATGTTTTCTGATGCAAAGCCTTAACATTATCATTTGAGTTACACTAAGGAATCCACCTTTTAGAATATGTTCACCAGTTTATTTTTAATAAAAAAAATAAACCCCATCATCTTTCCCCCAGCTCCCCTTCCTTTGGCCTACTGACACTTGTACTTCAAGTTGTTCAAATAACCACCTGTTCACTCAAGAGAGAAAGCTTTCTGATTAAATATCATATAAAAATCTTTGCAAAATTTCGCAAATCTTTCTTCTACTTCTGCTGCCTGTTCTCTATAACCATTGTATACAGTGATAAGAACACATTTCAGACCTTCTATCATTCTTACTTTCTAGTAACTTTCTTGCCATCTCAGCATTTTCATAGTTAAGTCTTCATATTTAATAAAATATGAATGCTTTTTGTTAACAACATTTATGAACTAACCTTAGCTTTGTAATTTAAGTAATTGTGTCCTTGACAAGAAAAGTGTTTATTTTACTGAAATTAAGAGTCAAATATCAATAGATGCATTTATATGTGAGGGAGACTGGGCTTTGTTTGCTTGAAGCAACATGTTTCCCTATGTTTTTCTGACAGAGAAACTGCCATTACGTTCACTTTAAAGCATATATTGTGACATGACTGGAAATAAATAATTTCTGGCATAATTTTTTAATGCAGTTTAAAATCGTAAAATATTAATTCATTGCTTAATATGATCTTACTATGACACCCTAACATCAAAACAAACCCCCACCAAAAAATCAAAATCCTTCCTTTTTACGAAATTACAGGACAGAGTCATGGTGTGAGCAGAATTTGGCAAGTTCCACTTTTCTTTGAATTTATGGGACTGTAGTGTTTGGAAGCATTCTTGGATATTCTAATAACTCTTTCCACCACTAATAAACACAACAGCTCCTCTGCTCAGTCAGTATGGCCATCAGTAGATATAACACTTAATGTCATGGGAAATCAAGAGTTATGCACTCTAGGTATAACCCTAGGGTGTATAAACCTCCCATTCAAGTTTCTGTTCCAAGACCTTGGAAGAAAGAAAATGATCTTCTAACCATTCCTAGTCAAAAAGTCATAGTCAAAATAAACAATTAATGTCAAGTTACATGCTCTAACCACTTGTGAAAAGGGAAATTCACAGGATCTTGTATGTCCAAATCAATGGAGTTCTACTATATTTTTTTTCAAAAAGATTCCATTAATCTTCTGGTACCTTACATGTCAAGCAATGACAGCGAAGGATGTGCAAAAGGTATGGAAACACTTCAAATGTTTCTTAAGCAACGAATCTCATGGAGCCTTCTGTATCAGTTCAGATGTTTTTAAAACAGCCAAGCTGTTCCAATTATAAATAATATAAAATGTTTTATTTATAAGAACTAATGATTTTTTAGATTACTTCTGGACTTACCCTGATTTTCTCCATGCAAAAATGTAGAATACTATTAGTTTCCTTCTAAGCTCAAAGTAAATTTCTTTCTACCCATGCAAATCTCGTTTTTATTAAAGAAAATATTCAATTAACCTCAAATATTCAACATACTCAAACCTAATTAAACATGAATAAGAGATGCAGTAAAGCTATAGTAAACAAACATGCAGATTTCATTACTATCATCTTACTGGCTTTCCAACTGACATTATCAAAAAGCAGACTCATTAGGTTTTTTTCTCCCATATGCAAAGCTAATCTGGAGTAGAAATTAGATGACCAATTATCTAAGCAAAACTCTGCAAATAACAACCACATTAGTATTATGTTGTAGAATGCAGTCCTGAAGCAATTAAGACCAAAACCAACTTTTGATATTGATTCGTTAGGATATTTTAAAGTTTTAACAGTTCTATATTCTATATTTAAGCAGCAAATAGAAAAATCAAAGTTATGAAGCCAGGTTTTAGCAGAAATAATATGATACAGCACTACTAGATTGGAAAGCCTTATGAATTACAGTCTCTACAAAGCATGATACTATTTTCAAATATCACAGCTTGATATTGTCTTAAGAGTCTGAAATTTCATTCTGTATTCATCATAACTTTGCTGCGTTTTGCTAGTTTAACTTTGCAGAGTCAACACTTTAAAAACTAATATTATGCTTAGGCTATACCCAATATACACAGGAATCAGAATATTGTGTAAGAATTTTTATACCTTCTGAATGCTTCTTATATTCAAAGCAATAAGAATTCAAGAAGTAAGAGAAATTAAAAGTGTTAAATAGCTTTTATTGGCTTATGATATTATTTCAATGAGGTTTTAAAAAATTTATTTCAATTATGTTTGCCTATCTAGAACATTTGGAAAGATGAATATTGTTCAGGTCATAAAAAGAGTTCTTACTTATCTGATGTCTCATTTAGTATATGATGCCAGAAATCCCATTTGTCTGCATGGAAGTAAGCCTCATTTAATCAAAGAGTTTGCAGTGCTGTTAGTTTTTCTGGTTTGTTTGGTGTTTTTTTTTTGTTTGTTTTTTTGTTTTTTTCCCTAAAGCCTTACAAAGATTACTGTCTTTCTCAGAGTCACAGAAGTTAACACATTGTGCTCTGTCCTCTATATTCTCTCTGAAATGGGCATTCCCACTATAGCAATGGTTGATGTGACATCTACGAGGGATTTCAGTCTTCAACTATGGGGTAATCCAATAGTTTATGAGTATTAGGAAGATATAAATGAGTAAATTCTTTGGCAAATCTCCTTCTAAACCCAGGTTTCTAGATGGTAGCAATTTTAAAGATCTGTGACACCACTTCTGCAAAGCCACTTTTACAAAATTATTTTTAAAAGAATGCTTAATTTGAATGTCTGTATTAATGGTGTGTCACAAATAGTAAACTGATTCACCTGTTCCAGGAAACTCTCAGCTAAAAATGCAATACTTAAAGTCCAAGACAACATGAAGCACTCAGACTGAATCTTAAATGAAACAGACTTTAACAGAAAAAAAAAAGTTAATGAATAATTGAAATACTATGAAATAGCTGGGAAGATAATTAACATGAGAATTATCAGTTATTACAATAGTTCTCTGTATGCTGTTAGTGTAAATTACATTGTGTTTTGACATAAAGTATTTTCAAATGTTCATTTATTAGAGAATAACATATGGAACATGCATAATTAAGTATCATGAAATAAGTAGCAATGTATTAGTATTAAACATGGCTGAATAATTTCCTATTTCAAAAACTTCTTATTAAAGAAACACTGAGTATTCCCAAATGATGATCAAGTTCAATTACATATTTTCTCTTTTCAACTGTATTTTAGTGGTACGTGTTTACATCGAATGTTTTTCTTTTGTTGTACCAATCATGTACCGATAGAGAAACCAGTTCATCATGTTATTTTAAAAAGAATACATAAATTTTAGTTATGCATAGCCTAATTTTAAAATCTATGCACTAGCAGCATGTTTAAATATATTGTAATGTTACCATTTCATACACAAGCCTACTTCAGTAATTCATTTTATACTTGATAATTGCATCCTTACCTCATTTCTTAAAAACCACCTTTAATATTTCCCAAAATATTTGGGAAATAGACAAATACAATCGGTACACAGATAAATGCAACTATAATATATAAAAGTAGTAGGCTTATTGGCAGGCATTTTCATAAGACAGAATTTAAGAGAAGAAACAAGCCTGCTCAGGAATACATCATACTTACCATTGCTATAGTTATAGTGAATCCTCTGACCACTTGTTGGTTTTGGAAGTGACAGTGGGGTCTCCTCTGCAAGGAAATTGTATAATCTGCATTCTACAAACAGCTGCTGTATTGTTTCATCTGATGCAATTCGTGACTCAGTAAGACCCAGCGATATAATTTCAATCCGGATTTTTTCAGTTGCCTATTTAAAAACAAAGGACAAACATAATACAAATTTTTTTGCGTTTCTTGAAGTGTTAATACAAAACAAACAAACAAACATACATGTAAATCATTGGCTATTATGTATTTTAACACTGATTGATTGATTTTGACATAGATACAATGCGATTCTAAAGCCCCAGGGTTTGTAGTTAAGAATATTGTTGTAACAGATACTGATTTACATTTGGTGTTGAAAATATTTTTGCAATAGTCCTGCTGCTGGAGAAGATCAGGTTAAGGTTATCTTCATGTACGAATGATATCTGAACCACAAATTTCAGTTGCCATTATTTTTAGCTACACAGCAAAGTGCTTTATATCTTGATCCTGTAACTGCTTGAAATATTAGTACTATCAGTAATATTAGGTAACAAAGTTTTCCAAATGAAAGAATTGTTACTCAGTGCCTACTGCAGACTATACTACAAATAGTTCAATAAAAATTCATCAAGTCACAAAGCAGTTAGGCATGTAAAGAAACACTGTATTTATACGGAATTCGACTTCATATACTGAACTTTTCTAGTTAAATCAAATATACATTTAAATATAATTTAAAATTAACAAAAAAATAATAATAAAAGTAATATCCCAGTTGTTCTTCACCAGAGCCTTTTCTTATTATTTTTAACTAAAATGACATTTTTCTGTTGCTTACATGAAATTGTTTCATACTGTTCGGCAAAGTCTGTATTATTTGCGTACAGATAAATTTTAATAAGCTTTATGTATATAAGTGGGAATGTCAGACTCAACAGAAAGAGTCACAAATATTTCCCTAGGGAACTCTGTAATTCAAAGAAAGAAAAGCCACTACGGTTTCAAAATTGGAGTACATAGGTGAGCATTCGAAGATGAGATTCTTCAAAGAGCAAACAGACCATGCTGGAGTTCAGAAATGTAAAAAAAAAATTTTTTTTTACTTCTTTCAAGTTCATAACTTTATTAAAAATATTTCCCCTATATGGAAATATTTTGACAATTTTTGATTGTAAACTTAAATCACCTGAAGTAATAAATTATATTCGAAAGATTAGCTTTCTAGATTCAGTGTCAGAACTGCAAGTCAATATTCTAATTTATTTCAGAGATAGCCTATATTTTTCCAAGCAAATTATATAATTAATCAAACTGAAAAGCAGGTGTATCCTATTGTAAAAATATCCATCATATAGAACAATTTCCATTGCTGTCAAGCCCTTTCAATATTTGATGAAGTAATTTTACCCCCTTCTTTCAAAAGACATTTCCTTTTATTATGTATCCTAAGACACTTTAACTAAAAACCCAAATCTGAATATTTCAATAAGGTTGTTTTATTATTCAGTAGATTCATGGAAATTTTACTAGGATGACAGCGAAAATTCCACACCATTCTGTCTCCACTAATACAGGTACACGGCTTCAGCTGGCAATATTACTGGGATTAGCATAGAATGATGAAATATTTAAAGGAATTTTTTTTTTTCTAAAATCTAATAAATCAAATGACTGCCAAATGTCATTAAAGTGATGGTCTTTGACTTGAATATGCTTTTCATATTCAAATTTGAAAAGAAAGAGATGAAAGCCTGGAAAGGTTACTCAGTTTCAACTAATAACCTCAAGCACTCTACATTCACATGCATAAAAAATGAAATTGGATCTATTGTCTAATTTTACTTCAGAAACAACTCTTTTCTTCTTGCACTGAACAGATGTATTAGCATCTGTATTTAAAGTGATATGCCGAGTGGTTTTGTTCGCCCCAAAGTATTTAGCAGCTATGTCATACTAGTTTGTACACAGACAGTAGTTTATGAATCAAGTCCAAATACAATATCCTGTATTATAAAGTATTCCTTTTACGTATCTTAAAATTTGTTTGACATATTTAACACTTGTAATTGCATACTGTAGGCAAAGAATACTACAGTTTTTCAAGAATAGCAGGGTAAATCCAAGTATTCTGCTTTCTAACTTACAAGGAAGCAAATAACTGAGTCATACTCTTAGAAAATTGTAAGAAAAAATAATAAATTACCTTAGAGCTTAACAGTCAAGAATATTTTAAGGCCTGGTTTTATTAACATTAAACATGAATTCAGCATATACAAAGGAGAGCACAAGCTGATTAAAAAAAAAGATATTTACAAATAAAAAAATATATAACTGCTTAAGAACAGCATAGCGAGCATGTCATATTTCACTACTAATACAAAAACGCTCGTATTATGTAGCCATGCTGAAAATATATGTAGCATCCAATACGATAGGAATTAATTTTTAAACAACCATTTATATTTCTATGATGCAAAGTGAAGTATGTTATTTAAATCTTTTCCTAAGTTGTTTTTTTTAAACATTGGTCTCATTTATTAGGTATACAAGTGATAAATGGATAGTTTGTCATGACCAATTACTTCCCACAAATCATTCTACTTTAATGGAAATAAGGTTAGTCTTTAAATTTAGTATTTAAAACAAAATAGAATATGAAATTTCCTCTAACAGAAAGACTGGACACACGTATTAAAATAAAGAATATTAAATGCTTTCAAAGACTGAGAAACTGGTTCAGTGCTTTCATTTCAAGTGAGGAAAAAAAACACGGGCAAGGTACTTCGTCTACGTCAATATTCTTTCTTTACCGTTTAATATTGACTCTTTGTAATTAACACTACCCAGAGATTTGGAAGAATCACTGAGCTCCTTCAACAAGCTTTAGGATTAGGTTAAGTACTAAATGCATTGGACATGACATTAGAATTTGAAGTCTCAGCATAACTTTTCTCATCTTTCTGATTTCTGAGATTAAAAAAGCTTTTTTTAATTCCATAAAAAGTCTTGACTGCCACCTTCAAGAAGCTGTATATTCCATATTTCAATTTCCTTTTTGGACACAATAAAATGCTAAGACTTCGATGTGAATAATAAAATTCCAGTTGACTCCAATGGCCCACAATAGTATCCCACAGAATTAAGTGTTTTACAAAAAAAGAGGTTGTGCTTTCTGCACAGAACAGCAACATTGAAAATGCCTTGCTTCTAGGAACAATGTAAACAATGTTCCTATTTTTTACATCCACAGTTTTAACTAATATATTGCCCTTGAATAACTCAAAATAAAGGAAACTTCTTAACCACAAGATCAACTTGAATCCTACCTTCACCAATGCTCAAAAATATTTATGCTTTACTCCTTAATATTTTATGTATTTATTTCCACAGTCCACTTACTCACTTGTTCCCTTCTATTTCAAGTAGAGAGCACATCAGATAAACTATAAGTTATTGTCAAGTAATTACAAATAATCATCCATTTGCTATCAATACTTCAATCACTATCAATATTACTTGATTGACAAATATCTTTATTGAATAAGAAATCATCCTCTTCCTCTACCAAGTGCCAAATTCCTATGATCATCCTATTAACAATGTCATAACAGAGCTGCAAAAGAATGCTATCACAGGAATGTCAACCTAATCTAACTGTTCAGAGACACAAACATTACTCATTAAGTAATTATGATTAAGAGGTCAACATCTTACACATACACATACAAATACGTATTACAAAAAATTATTCTAGTCCTTAACTGTATCCAGTGACTTTTCATGTTAGGAACAACATCTATTTTTAGATTTTCCCCACAATGGTGTAGATGTGAAAACAGAAGGAGGGATACGGAAATGCTCCCTGTTCCTTCTCCAAATGTATGGGACTTACAAAAGTGCATGCATTTTAGACTCTCCCCAAGACCTGGGGCAAAGAGATCGCTCCTTGTTCAATAGCTCTTTTGGAGTCGGATTTACTGTGAAGGAGGGAAAGGCACATATAATCTTCCCCCAGCACCACTGTTTTTGCCATGTGCTGGGAGGAGAATGTAATGGCACAAGATTAGCACCACGATAAGGTTCGATGCAATCCCTTCAGCTCTGTCTAGAATTAAGAACACACTACACAAAAAAAATCTATTTGTGACAATGAGTATGTCTCTGGTTGCTGCCATTTTATCTAGTGCAGAGTCCAAATTCATCATTTTCAGAGCATGAATTCATCTTTAATATCTTCAAAGGGCATGAATTACTTGCTACAGTTTGAGACAATTCAATGATTAGATATTGCCTCTTCTATGCAAGTCTGTAACATACCCATCAACCCACTGATTTTTTTTCAGAAAAGACAATTTCTAATGCAGTATAAAACACCAAACATTTTAGAAAATACTAAGTTCTTGAGGGATGTAAAGCTTTCCCACCACGTCCATGACAACTATACATCTGAATATGTCACATTTACACTTTGCTCATAATACAACTTTTGATCACTTGAATAATACACTTTCTTCCCTTCAAATGGCTTGCCTCCCCCACCCTTTCTGAAGAATAAACATAAAATTGTTCAATGTTTCTCCTGAAGTTGAATTGTTTTTAAAGATTTGGTTTTGCAAGTTGCCTGTGGCACTGCCTCAACTAACAGTTTTTAAAGATAAACTGTTTCTAGGGATGAATAAATACAAAAGAGCAGATATATCAGGAGCTGTTTGACAGGTGAGATACAAACTTCCTTAACTGAGTTTTATTTTCTCCCCACAAAGTGGGAAAGGCTACATAAGCAATATTGTTACAGTCCTGAACTAAGCTACACCCCTCTCTACTGCAGATTATCTCAAAGAGGAGACTTCAATTTTTTTTTTTTTTTAGTGTTTAAACACTCACTATTGATTATACCACCAGATAAAATAAAAAACAAATACCAACATTATCAAATCTCAAAGCCAGTTAGCTACACCAGTACCAACTAGCCACACAATTAAGTAATTCAAATGCTCTGTAAACTTACAATTACCTTTCATTTCAAAAGGAAGCATGGTCCTTAAATAAATAAGCAAGAAAGAAAATTTCTCAATAAAAAGAGGTCTTACTCCGTACATTTTCGGTATGCTAATACACATCAACATTTAAGTTACAGAAATAAGATGAAATAAGTAGCAGTATTATGTAAAAAAACTAAACAGAGACAAATACAATAGGACTTCTGCTTTTGTATATATCTATGCATGTATTTTTCTACATGTAGGTCATAGACTTTTGGTTTGATTTAAAAAATAAATTAAATTTTAAAAATCTGTATTTGAAAGTTAATCCATTTAGAAAAAAAAAACCCTAGTATGGGAAAAAAGCAGAAGTATCAATATACATTTTCATTTGTTAAGAGTGCATCTGTAGTGAAAAAAATATATCAAATTGGACATTTTAAATACAGCTGTTCTTTTCATTTGACCTTCAATACTTATCATTTGATACTGTGTCCCCCCCGCCATTATAGTATTGTGTGGGGACAATATAGACATGCAAAAATGAATGGAATTTGATTCTCTCTCATATTACCCACAGTGTGATAAAAATTATGCTTGGTGATATATATCGCAGCTAATCAAAACTCAAATTTAATTTCAAATCCCATCCTTTGCTTTTTAGACGTCCAGTTAGAAAAATACTCCTCTCTACTTGTAAAGTCACCATAACTTACTTCCATGTCAATGAGCTCTGATAAATATAGTCTCTCAAGTAAGCAACTGAGGAGCATTCATATTCATAACCACAAAAAATATTACGAGCTAGGTTAAAAATGGCTCCTGTTGATGCTTTTCCTGTGGGCTTATGCACTCGGCCTCAAATCTGACTTTCTACTTAATTTAATATTCTGACTAATTAGTTTTATTTGTTACCTAAAAAGTAATGGGTTACCCAATGACTTAGGATGCTGCTGTTTTGAATCATTTTAAAAGCTGGTGTTTGGGGTTTTTTTGGTATTACTTCTCCCTCTTCTTTCAGTTCTTCCATCAAGAAGAATGACTTGTAGTACATGCTTCTAATTATTACTTCAAAGTGTATTTGACAAGCACTAGAAGTTATAAATCCATCATTTCAGTGTACTGCCTGTTCAAACTACTATCATCTCAAAACTTTATCAGTGGCAAAAGACAACTTAGGTCTTTCCTGGATTCTTCAAACTTCCTCTCTTATACTTTAGTTCCTGTCTAATAGTGACCATAACAGCAGACAATCACCTTAAAGATGGAGAATGGCAAATGCTCCTTTTTGATCTTAAGAGCCATCAGTAGTCTTTCAAAATACTGATTATAAAGCTTTAATAAGGTACTTTTATCTTACTCTGATAAGATAGTTCTGTTTCATGAATTTTATTTCTTGTTTTATTAAATATACTGGTGCAGCACTTTTACTTCCCCAATTTCTTACACAAGAAAAGCACAAAGCAATTAAGGTTAGAGCTAGACAAGACTAAGAATACAACGGATTAGCATTTCTGACTAATGAATGAAGCCAACTCAGCAACACAGGGTAATACTAAAAACCTAAAATTTTAGTTTTCTAAATTCAGATTAGACATTCACAGAACAAGCCAGTTTAAGAAAAGCATTGAGCATTCCAATCTCCATGAAGTACACCAAAGATACTCAAGTCCTGCAGAAAATAAATGTAAAGAGAAATCAAGACAGCCAAAAATTAAAATTGCAATACAATGTCCAAATCATTTTCTTTTTTTCAATGAATGCAGATATCTCATAGGAGGATATGCACTATTCAAATAATTGTACAAAAAAGGCATAATAAAAGGAACAGTATTTATTGCTTTGCCTTACATGAGCTTTATGCTTTACATCTTCCCACCTTTGTACAAACATGTTTCATTGACCAGCAGAACCACAAGCAATTGGTATTGCTTTTTAATGGTGTTTAAGAGAGATTTTCATGTCAACATTAATTAGACCCCAAGATCTTAATTTAAGGAACTGATAATGACAGTTTTCAATAAACTGCTATTAGCGCAAGATAATGCACTAACAGTATCTGCAACAAAAAAGAGAGATGTAAACACACCTATAGAAAAAACGGGACCACCACCGAATAAATTGTCTTTGCCAGTAATTGCCTTATGGGCACATTTTAAGACAACTTGGAAGCTGACAGCAGTAAATTTTATTGTGATAATTGAATACTATATTATCTCCTGTAAGGATAAAGTGTACACATGGGGGTGAAAGTAAGGAGGGAATGGAAGAGAAAAGTTTTTTTTTTTTTTAAATGTAAAGACCATGCCAAAGAAAATGCAAATTCCCAGTTTTGATGTCTATTTTGAGGATCTGAAACAAGTCTTTTAATCAATGTATTATACATCAAATTGATAATGTTAACTTCTGATTATTCAAATGTATGAAATATTCATAGAGAACTGTCCAAACTTTTACATTTCTCAGACTTCTTTTCTCTATTAATTATCATGCCTGGAAGCTTTTTAGTAAAAGCAGCAGCCATCAGCCTGACTGAACCTGACAAGCTAGCAAGGCCCAATTACACTGGCACTCTGTGGCACTTTGATGTACTGGAAACGAAAAGAGATAGGGGCAAATTGTATAGCACGTTATGTTAATGACTTGATTTAATCCAGCCACTAAACTTTATGTAGCCTGTTAAAAAAGATGCTAACACTAATTACGCCACTTTGGAAAGGAAAGAAGGGGACAAGCATTTCATACCGACAAAGTGAAGCTCATAAATGTTGTAAATGAAATGAAACAAAATGAAGTAATCTATGATTAATTATACATCATAGACAAGAAGAAAAGAGAAGGAAGCAAGTGGTACAGCTAAGTACTGGAAAATCTGTTAGATACCCTTTATGATCAACATATCTAAGAAATAACCATGAACTGTTTAATTTGCAACATGCAAAAAAGAAACAGTATGATCTTAAACGGCTTAAACAGTTTGGCATACAACTCAGATTTATAGGATAATTAGCATAACGATCTCTAAAAATCACAAGTCTTATTTACAGTGTTTGATTACCAGCAGGATATTTATCTCAAAAGATAAAAGGCAGTGATTTTTAATCTTAAAAAAAATACAAATTCAATCACAATTTTCACATGCTGTATTCTATAATTAACCCAAGATTTCAAATGTACCAATGCCTATTTTTAAAATCCAATTTGTATCAAACTTGTTGTCTTAATAGTTTATAGCTTTTGTCTTATCTACCCTTCTTGAATATGCACTTTCTTACAGAGGAACAGATCAATGGAGAGAGGTAGAAATTAATGAACCTGAAACTAATCTACACTCGAAATTTTCTCAGAAGTGTTCTTACATAATTTTTATAAAATACAATACAGGATGACTAGCAATGTATAGATCAACTGTATTATAGTTTGACTTAATGGTGATGAGTAGCAGTCATTTTAGTTCTCAAAATTACAGGTGAAACATTTTTTTAACATTTTACATATAACAATGCAATTCTGTCTTCAAAAGTACCTTCTGTATCTTTTGCAGCATATATAAGTGATAGAATTTCTAAATCTCCTCTACAACTTAAAAAAGGAGCTATATTTCTCACACAAAGCATTGCTTCTTGTTGCTAGTTACTTTGTAAGATATCACACAGCCTTGAAAAAAGGATTTAAAAAAAAAAAAAAAAAAAAATCATCAAACTACCTCTAGGTTATCACACTGCAGAACATTAAAAAAAGTTAGGACTGATAGCATATAACAGTACACTCCTGGTCCTTTAAAAGAAGGCTAAGACAGACCAGAGAAGTATTAACTGTTAGAAGTATTATAATCAATTTTAAGTGCTAGTTCTACATTTTTTAAGATTGTTCAGTCAATGTTAATCTAAAAGTATGAAATATTCTTTTTTTTTTTTTTTTTTTTTTTTAAGATAACTATACTATTGAAGCACTGTTCAAAGTGGACTTTCCAAATTTGCATTATACTGTGCTATTTTGTATATATGACTCATTAATTGCTGGTTTTAAGAACAAGTCAAGAGAATATCATTACTGTACATGCCCACAAATAATAACAGAAAAAGAAGTACACTGAAGTGATTGGATACTGTACATGTACAAACTTTATTTAAAACTGATGTTCAGTTCTAAAACTGTTGGGAAGTCAGGAGCAAAAAGAAATTCAACAACATTCAATCAAGTCAACATACTGGGATGAAACACAGTGGGTAGCTAAGCATTGTAGATTTACTACAGGCCTTGACAAGTGAAATTATCCTCCCCTTCCTCAGAAACCACTGGAAGAAGTAGAAAAGTACTTTTTCCCACATAAAGACAACAGATAGGACTGAACAACAAGACTAAGTTCTTTAGACATTCACATCACAATAGTTACCTTTCCTTAGGGAGATTTTGTGCAGGACTAAAATTTGAATTCAGATTTAAACTAATTAGAAATGTCTACTTCTAAATGTGTATGACAATAATGGAAAACAAATTTCCCCATTAAGAAAACACCTGTAAGTCACATGCACAATACGGTCAGGTTAACTTTTCTTTTTTTCTGTGAAAAGGTGTCTATTTGAACTGGAAACAGGAATACATGCATTCATTGAAAATGCCTTAGAATCTAACCTTAGATACAGCAAAGCTACTTTCAGAGGGCATTAGGCTTAAAACATTTTTCTTAGACTTACCAAATAATTGCCATAAATACTTTGACTCACCTGTTTAATATTCTTGGATACTGGACTGGAAACAATACAGTCATCACTGTCAGTTATTATTGATTCAATGGCATCATTTTCTTGTCTATCATGTTGATCTGGGGGGGGGGCAAGGGGGGGAGGAAATCAATGCAGTTAAAAGCCCTTGTATTTGTAGTCCATCTGAGACTTGCTGAGAAACCTGATCACAGTATATTTGCTTTTCTAATAAATAAAGTATAAGTGCCAGGTAAATCTTTTCGTCCTTGCAGAAGATTAACAGTGGCAAATCAACGACCTTTAAAGTAATCTAAACTGTATTTTTTTCTGATTTGCTAAAAAAAATGGTAATGTTTCCCAGGTGAAAATTGATGTGTGGAATGATATAAGTCCTGTGATGGCCTGAAGTATGAACAACAGTTAGCTTTATATAAGAATATGGCCTGAATTTGTGGATTTCCTCTGACTACAGTTTAACACCCTGCACATGTAAAGAAGAATGTACTTTTTTTTTTTTTTTTTTTTTAAAGTAATTCTGTATGCAGGTGGTTTATTTTCTAAAGCATTCAGGTCTTTTTTCTCTGGAGCAAATAACTTATAAACACAACAGGGATCAATATCACATTCTTCCAATTTTTCTAATGAATTCTTATGCAGAAGCTGCAAACAACTGAACATAAAATTTTAGCATCCTGCTTGTGCTTTTACTTTAAACTTGGTATCGTGGACTTGGTTTATTTCAATGATAAACAGTTTAAGCTTGGAGGCAGAAAAGGATGACCTGGCTTTTATAATCTTTAAATAAATCTGCCTCTTAACAACTTTATGTCACAGATGTGATAAGACATATTACCCCTCTCACTGTCTGAAAGGATTTCCAATATCAGCATTGGCTGTTATCTGCAGACAAAAGGAGCACATTCATTAAAATAGTCTTTAGAACAGCATAGTTCTAAGGGAGAATATAAAGACATTTAAAATAGAAGCCAGGTTTCCTTTAATATTTTATGAGTCTAGGTCAGATACCAGATTTTTGCATTCAATTACAATACAGTTTCCATTTGGGAAGAAAATAACACCACCATATCCACCACCCAGCTTCAGCTATAAAGTACACCAGAATATCATTTCTGTCATGAAGCTTCTCATAATGAGGCAGCTCCCACTGCTAGTAAGAAATGTTTAAGAAAATGGAGAGAGGAATAGATTTATTAAGAAAATACAGTTATTTATTCAAAAAAATGAATTCTACCTTCTGGTTCCAATTCTTCAGTTATTTCTGTCTCATCTCCAGAGGTAACGGAGCTTTGGTCGGCCAACTGCCCCTCTGACAGATGTGAGAGGTCTTCTTTTTCCTGTTGAATTTCTTCAGCCATCTCCTTCACCTTATCTTGTTTAACCTCATGTACCACATGCTATATAAAAATAGATAAACTTACAGTCTTTATAACACTCCTTGAACAGTAAAAGTTACTAAAGTTCAAAACTTGAAGAGTTGTGGATCACATTCATTATACATAGCCTTTAAACAATTACGTTGCTCATGCAGTGCAGGAAACAATGAGAAGTTGTCAACTGCAGTAACAAATAATTGATACAGTAGAAAGACAATTCTCTAACCATGTATATTTGTGAAAACATAACTACTATAATCATTTGGTATCTGTCAACATATATACAGCCTGTTAGATTTCCAGATTCATTTATATTTCAGCTCTTTCAGTTCTACAAGACTCAGTTTAAAAAAAAAACAAAACAAACAACAACAAAACACAACAAAAAACAAAACCACCACCACCTTACTGAGTTGGCAATTTTGTAACAAACTATACAATATTTTCTGTTTCAAAAGCAAACTAAAATCATATAAAAAAGAATTGGCCTTGCTACAAAATACAAACATGTTGTCTAAGGTAAAATATCTTTAGTGCAGAACTTACTCTGAAGTAATCTTATTCCCTTCTTTCTCTTTGAGTACAATTACATAGAATAATACTTCATCAATGGATATAACATTACAGACATGGCATCTTCCATGGAAATTTGCTGGAGACCTATGCATTATTTACTATCCAACAATTCTCCTCGAGGACTGAATTTTCCACAGAGATACTGATGCCTCACAATCCATGAGGTAACTTTCAGCTGTCCACAGAACATCCGAGTTTTCCAAAACGGGGCCTGAAGAGTTATTTCTATTCTAATACATTTGGAGCCACAAAAAGCAAGGCAATGTTAACAAACACTTAAGTGCCTTATTCTATAAATAAAGATTATCCTTGAAGTTTTCAAGTCGTAGAAAACTGACTTTGTCTCTTATGCTCCTCCTTGGCATAGATGATGTGTCATAACCACTGTGTTTTAAACAATGTTTGGTCATTCTTTTTAATTCCTTCAGTGACAGAGCTGCATTTTGTGGATAAAATTTTCAGAGAGAATACTTTTTGATTATTCCACTTGACCAATACCACTTGATGTGGTGGAAGGGAGACAACTTCTCAATCAAAGCCCCAGATGAGCTTTAAAGTAGAAAAGTGAAAGGAAGATAAGAGCCAGTGATTAAATGTTGTGTTACGCCACTAGAAACTACAGTTTGCCAATCTGCCACAACTTACTTTCACAACCAATTGGACCACTACAAATTACAATATTTAATACTTTTCTTATCCTTGGAATGCGACATATTTAGCAATATTCCAAAGTTACTCCATTTCTTCTTCATTTCCCCCCGCTATATAATGGTAATTTTTAGAGGGAAGACAAAATAAATTTCATCCAAACATTGAAGGAAGTAAGCAGAGATATTCCTCCCTTCCTAATGGCCAAAAAAAAGAAGATTGTCATCACAAAGAATCACTTTTTTCATATTTCAGAGAAGTTTTTGAGATCTTATTTTACCATAGTTTGATTTTTGATACATGACTGAAGAAATTACATACACATGGTATTCAAATGCAATACATTATATAAAACCACAAAACCTGAATAATCTCATACCTCTGAAACACTTGGAACTCTTGAAGCCTTCATCTTCTGTGCAAGTTCCATATCATTTTCAACAAGAGAGCCCTAAGTTATGGGTGAAATAAGGGGAAGCCTTTAATATATAGTAGACAATTAACACACAAAAGTAGGTATAAATTTACTGGCTGAGAAGCATTTGGATGGGAAATTATGTCCTCCTTTGCTTCCCTGCATTAGCATTACTGCTTCTGTCCTCTGCTATAGCTTCTACCTATGAGGCTGGACAATTCTTACAAGTGGTTTAGGCGAGTCAAAACCATTCATCCCACTTTTTAGGGAGTCTCCTTTTCCAAAAACAACTATTTGCTTTGGCATGTGTCACATTAATATCCATTAATTATTAATATTAATAGATTTTCTGCTATTCAAAAAATGAACAGGAAAATGAAACAGACTGTTCCTGTACAGTTTTAATCTGTTGAACTTCTAATTCTCTTGCGTGGACACTCTCTTGCCATTTCACAACAAGATTTAGACATCAGAGAAGCCCCAGCTATTTCATTATTTAGTCCTAACAGTACTTTTGTCTCTAACCAGACAGTGAGGCTTGGATTTTTAAAACAGCTAGGGGAGCTGCCCACCCAGTAATGAAGACTTCTGATGGAGACCGAGTAGCTGTCTCCCTTAGAAAATCATAGTTTGTGAAAAATAGTCAAACTTTGAGACGTTACTGTTTGGACAGCTGAAGATGATGTGTGTGTAACTATATCGCTAACATTTCAGTTTTCCATATCTAAGCTCTCAAAATATTTGATTTCACCAACATTTGACCTTTTTTTTTTTTTTAAAGTTAATAAATACAAGAGATCGACTTAATTCTTACTTCCAGTCTATACTGTATGGCTCAAAACAAAGTTCTAGTCAAGGTAAACTAAATAGCAGAAGAACCTGTGAATTGAAAACCCACGTTAACATTTCAAAAAATAAATCCAATCAAGGCATTTACAAATGGAAAAAATTATCACAGCTAGTTTTTAATTAATTAATGCAACATAATATTATTAACCAATAATAATACTCATAACCTTTTATAATTAGCTGTTAAAGAACCTACCTTAACTCACTGGATTTAATTAGAAGAGTAAATACAGCCTACCCTTAGTTTTCTGAAGGCAGATTATTTAAGACCAAATGAAAATTTACACCATACAGCAGATATGTTTGAGTTAGTTCCATGCAGACTCTCCTAGAGTCTGGAAGAATGTGCACGTGATAGCGCATCCTAAGTTCAGAAGTGTAATTGTTTTCACAGGGTGTGTAATCTCAGCTAATAAACCTTGTTTAAGAGGTGTCTCTGAACTGTGTCAAATTACGTATCTCATTAGCACAACACTCAGGATCTGTTTGGATAAAGCTGGTTTCTATAGAGCCATTTATATGTCTGTGCAAGTGTCACACTGTACAAAGACACTTTAGTTAATAACTCAGAGAGCTGAGAAACACAGTGCAGAGACAGTTGATTGGTCCTATTAAAATCTGCTGTAAGTCTATGAAAGTTGAAGCTTGTAAACTGTGGAGAATAGCAAGCAATTCTGAGGGAATGACACAAATATCCCTGTATTGTATCTCTCACCTATATGCAGTACTGTGCTATCATTCGTTGCCTGGGACATCCCAGTCTTCTGCTGCTAAAATAATTGAGTATTCTTGATTATTAGTTCTACAAATTGTCCATACTGAGACATAAGTAGCCTTTCTTGCTTCAACATGCACGAGCAAAATACTTAAAACTTACTGCCATCTGTATTGTACTAAGATCCAGAAAAGACACTTTCTTGTCTGCTTGAGCTGCACGCTGCCTTGGTTTGGGTGTTGGTTTCTGTAATAAAACAAATATAGTTGAAGACCATTTATTGCCATATTCCAACCATCTTATTTTACAGTAAATTTTGAGGGACCCTAATTTTTCTCAAAGCCAAATCTAACTGTGCTAAATTCAATTCTAAACAGGCAAGATGATGTAGATGTTGTTCAAATAAGCAACCCCTCCAAATGGAGATATCTTTCAGAAATCAGCCACAATGGGTATAAAACTCTACAGAACATCTATGGAATGCAATGTGACTTCCAGGTGAGAAATAATCACAGGACTGAAGTCAGTGGTATCATATACGTCACAGAATTATTTATTATTATCGTTTATGGAGTGCTTGACTTCTTTTCTTGTTCTGTAGGCTTACCATATCTTTCCTCAGGCCACTCCCTTTGGAGAATTTTAACACAGAAAGAGAAAAGAGACTGGTAATAGTTGCAAAATTAACAAAATGATCCAGAAATATTTCTGTCATGATGGCATAATATGAAAGACAAAATAACTAAAAAAAAGTGCTTTATTACTCTTCATGCTTTACTCTCTTGATGAAGGCAGAAATTATCTGCCATTTCCACTGATTTTTATACACAAAAAAACCCCCCTTACACTACTTTTAATTTATGAGTGATTTAAGAAGCTATTGGGTATTTTAGCACCCATGCTCCAAGCACCAGAATAACAAAGAGCGTGGTGCAGATACACCTACGTATCTGTACATATGGCTTGGGTCTGGCTGCTTGAGAATTCTTTTGGCTCAAAGCTACCCCAACTGACTGAGTTCTAAGAGACCAGAGAAACAACAGCTGATTTCATGACTGTCATAAATTTCAACCATAGCCCTAAAGTTGCACAAGCGTGTGACTACATTTTATGTAGGACATCTACATTGGAAAGAGAATTAATAAGCACTAAATTTACAGGTAAGACATTTAATGTTTGTTATTTCTCCTCCCTTTTCTCCCCACCTTTTTGCTAACCAGTTATCTACCGTTATAAAAGACTTTAAAAAGTTTTGGACACAAAAGATTTCACCTCCCAAAGGAAGTTGAAGATGGTGGTTATATGAAGTATTTGTACTACGCATTATTTTACAGTAAAGACAAATCCTGGTTCATCAGGGAAGAACTAAATGACCTGCTGTAATAGGACTTTTATATCTCTTAACTTCTGTGAGTTTTTTAAATTACTTACTGTCAGTGACGAAGTAAAAGAAGGAGACAGGGCTGGAGTCTGCATTTTTTCCTCTGCTAGTAATTTAGCTGCCATTGACTTCTCATTTTGAATGTAATTCACTAAGTCTGCAGCCATTGTTGGTCCACTTGGTGGTAGGTAGACAAACTTCCATTTTAATTCAACTGTGATGGTACCAGTAGCATGTCTTCCAGAATCTGTTAGTTCAAAAGTACCTGAAAGCAAAATGCAAATCTTGTCTAAATTCTCTTATTCTATACATATACAAGAAAACGCAATGCAAAACTGAATGGTATTCAGGAATTAAGTATCTTAATAGTCTTCATTTTAGAAGCTAAATAGTATCAAAATATTGTGCTTTGTAGATTCAAATATATCCAATATAACACCGTGGACATTCAAAAATACAGGATTTAGAAGGGACTAGATTACTGTGTTCATTCAAGATGTCCTGTAGGTTTCTCAGATAATCCAATACCAGATAACTAATTCTTACTGACATCTTGCAAAAGATCTAACTAAAACATTTCCATGTTTTACTAATACTAACTTTTGTTAAAGAAAATATAAGGGTTTTAAAAAAATCTGAGAGTTGCTAAATCTTTATCGAAGAAGAAACACCCTAAATTCACTTGCAAATTTTCTCCTATTATCCATTTATATGGGATAATTATAGAACCGTATTTTAAAATTTTCATGAATGTCTTATAGTTGACAATGAAATAATCGTTAAGCAGTTTTTGTATTATAAACACTATAGTAAATTTGTAACCGATATCAACTTGTGGGGAGCAGTTGATCCACTGAAGGCAGGGCTGCTACTCCCACAGTAGAAAAATGGGCTGACGGAAACCTCGTGAAGTTCAACAAAAGCAAATGCGAAGTCCTGCATCGGCCCAGGAATAGCCCCAAGTAGCAGTACAGGCTGGAGGTTGACTGGTCACAAGCAGCCTTGCAGAAAAAGAGCTGGTCCTATTTGACAAAAATTATATAAGCCAGCCAAGCTGAGTCTTTGCAGCAAAGAATACCAACGGCACCCTGGCCTGTATTAGCAAGAATGCAGTCAAGCAGGTCCAGGCAAGTTTCATACTTTTTCTACTCGACACCTATGAAATGGCATCTGGAATACCGTGTCCAGTTTTGGCCACTCTAGCACAAGTAAGATATTGACATTCTGGAGCAGGTCCAGTGGAGGACTACAAAGAGCTTCAGGGCATTGGAGCACATGACATACAAGAGGCTGAAAGAAGTGATTTGTTCAACCTTCTGAAGAGGAGGCTCAGAGGAGATCTTATTGCCACCTAATAGGGGTGTGTGGAAAAGACAGAACCAGAGGTGCACAGCAGAAGGAGGACAGCCAACAGACACAAGTTGGAACATGGGAAATCCCAGCTCTGTAAGGAAAAAGTTTTTATTATGAGGGTGATCAGACATTGGAACAGGTTGACCAGACAGGTACTAGATCTCTGTCCCTTGTGATATTCAAAATTTAACTTGGCAAAGCCCCGAGCAACTTGCTCTAACTGGGTCAGGAGGTTGGACTAGATCGTATCAGGAGTTCCAGTTGACAATGATTCTAAGATTACAAGTGTAGCTCTTGATCTGTTTTTTTCCCCAAAGATGCTGATTTCTCATGTCAATTTCCTAATTTATTTTAAGTGTACATTAGCCAAAACCAGAAAAGGAAACTAATGAGAAAAAAAATGAAGCCATGCAGAGAAAAAAACCCATGTTTTAAATTAGTGTATCAGTCCTGAAAAAAAAGAAGTAGCAGCAACACCAGAAGAAAAGGAGGTGGGAGAAAGTATGAATATGCCAGGAAACATTTTTTATCATTAGAACATAAAAAAGGACCAGTAAAAGAAGCTATCAAATACTTCCAGGTTACTTTTGAACCAGAGAGAAACACTTGATTTTTTTTTTATTATTATTTCAAGAGTTATTTCAAGACACCTACTATTTTTGTTTCACAGATACCTTGTCAGTTATAAGAGCAGTACATTTTGAAAGTCAGGTTTCAGCCACCCCTTCCCACCTGATGTTAAGACTAACAGGGCCTTGCTGCCTAATAATGAAAGATACTCATAATATAGTAGTGTGAGAAATATAACTGGTAAACTTGGTAGGCCTCTCAAGGCAAAAAACAGTGGTAAAAGACAGATGCAAACAGATTACTAAAATGCTAACCAAAAAAAAACCCCATCAATAATGGATTAGAAATTAAATTTAGTCAGTGCTAGAGTGACATATTCCAATTATAACTATTTATCATATCATAATTATTCCATACCTGGGCCAGTATAGAGAATAAAGGATTTAAAAGACTTTTCATCCTTGTTAGGACCATGATAAATGAATGTTTGGACACCAGGTTCTTTTGATTTAATTTTTTTTTCTTTTTACTTGCGGATTTTAAAGAAAATATTTACTTCTTTCTCTTAAATCTCAGAAAATGTCATGAGGTGAAAAATACCCTGTAAGGTACAGGCATCCTGTTCAGATTCATTGCAGTTAATGGATAATCACAAAACCAAACACCACTTTAAAATTTGAGTTAAAATGCAACAATGCTGGAATATTCTGTTAGTACTATTTTAGTAAATAAAAGAGATATTCCAAACTTTTTCTCTCCCTTGGTCTTTTCTTTCTCTGATGTTTAAAGTTTATACTAAAAAAGTCATTCATCAGTTTCAAAGCTCTGACACAGACTTTTCACTAGCCATGACTTAAGTAACACTGAGACGCAAAATTTCTTTCCAGGATTTCATTGGCGTTTAAAATTCTGTCAGACAAGAATAACAGATGAACGATACGGGTTTTTAGAACCATAGAATCATTTAGGTTGGAAAAGACCTCTAAGATCATCAAGTCCAACTGTAAACCTAACACTGCCATGTCCACCACTAAACCATGTCCCTAAGTGCCACATCTACACGTGATAAACCAGTCCTTCTCTCTTCATTGTTTTAATCCTCCCGGGGAGGTGGCCCCCACCTCTTCCCGGGCCAGCCTGTTCCAAGGCCTGACCACTCTTTCAGTAAAGAAATTTTTCCTAATTTCCAATCTAAACTTTCCCTGGCGCAGTTTCCTCTCATCCTATTGCTTGTTATTTGGGGAAAGAAACCAACACCCACCTCGCTACAACCTTCTTTCAGGTAGTTGTAGAGAGCGATAAGGTCTCCCCTCAGCCTTCTTTTCTCCAGACTAAACAACCCCAGTTCCCTCAGCCACTCCTCATGAGACTTGTGCTCTAGACCCTTCACCAGCTTTGTTGCTCTTCTTTGGACACACTGCAGCATCTCAATGTCCTTCTTGTAGTGAGAGGCCTAAAACTGAACACAGTATTCGAGATGTGGCCTCACCAGTGCCGAGTACAGGGGCACGATCACTTCCCTACTCCTGCTGGCCACACTAGTTCTGATACAGGCCAGGATGCCGTTGGCCTTCTTGGCCACCTGGGCACAGTGCTGGCTCATATTCAGCCGGCTGTCAACCAACACCTCCAGGTCCTTTTCCACTAGGCAGCTTTCCAGCCACTCTTCCCCAAGCCTGTAGCATTGCATGGGGTTGTTGTGACCCAGCCGCAGGACCTGGCACTTGGCCTTGTTGAACCTCATACAATTGGCCTCGGCCCATTGATCCAGCCTGTCCAGATCCCTATGAAAAGCTTTTCTTTTGTTTGGTTCTTAAAGAGATTTAAAGAGATACGAAACAGGAAGTGAAGATTTTGTTAAGTTTAAAGAGATCTAATTCTTACCTGAAATAGATCTGTC